AATGAGCAAAAAGCAAATCAGTGCCTTGAGAAGGATTTCTATCGTGTTTTAGTAAAAGCTGGTGATCAGTTAAAAAAAGGCAGATTGGAAAAAATAAAATTTAAATTTAAAAATGTCAGATTGGCTGCTTTGGTTTTCTGCTCTCTCCCCTCAACCAGTTCAAAATGACAGAAAAGGAATTTTTCCAAGTATCAGCTCATAGAGACGAAGAAATGGGAGACCACACACAGCAGAGGAGATGGCTCAGGAATTTTTAGAAGGAGAGTAACTGCCTTTACAGAAGGCCGACAGTGACAACCTAATCGTGGCAATAGGGGTACCTGTCTGCTCCCCACAGAAACGTCTGAGAGGCTGAGCATTGGGGGCACCAGGAAGGGGAGGGGCAAACAGTGTCTCCCTTCCCTACTCCGTACAGCCAGGCCAATATACACCCCCCCCCCATATTCCCATCCTCACCCCACTGTTTAAAAAGAATGGAAGGTTAGTTCTAGAAAAATTAAATCCTAATGACGTCAGGCTTCTAACAATACCGGAAGTGAGACATCCGTGAAGACCGCCTTCAGATTTCTGAAGAAAAGTTCTTTGCAACCTTGAATTCCGTTCCTGTCGTTTCAGAATTCGCACACACGCGAGACTCAAAAGACACACGTCCTGCGGAAGCTTTCTTAGGAAGCTACTTAAAAACGTGCTCCAGCAAAACGAAGGCGGAAACAGGGAAGGAGGAAGGTGAGAAATCTAGAACACGGGGTGCGACTCAGGTGCGAGAAGACAGGAAGCCCCGGGGCGGCGGCCTGGCGACCGGCCTGGAGAGCCGCCTGCACTGGGACGGGAAGCCGGTCTGAGCACGTGGAAGCCGCCGTCGCTAGGTGTGTGGCTGCGATGGCAGAGCCGCTGGGGAAAAAGCCATCGTGCCAAGGTGAGTGACCAGGCCCGAGCCCCAGGGAAAACGCGGCGTTGTGCCGGACAGGACGTGTGGGGTCGGCGAGCTTCCGGGCTGGGCAGCGAACGGCAGTTGCACAGGCACAGTGAGAGACGCCGACCATGCGTCTAACCGAAAGGTGGGACAGAAGCGTGAGCGAGGGACGGAACGGCACGGCGGAGCCGGAGGCGGGCCGCCCAGGGCGCGTCTACACGCAACAAAGTTAAGCGAGGCCTGACGCTGGCTGAAGGTGACAGATCAGGACATAAACCACGCTGGGTGTTCTTCGGTGGATACGAAGGTCAATAACAAAAGCGGCTTCTAAAATTATAAAGAATGACAGCGAGAATGGGGAGGGAGAGGGACGGGGCTCGGGGCCGCTTTCTCTAACTATTATGAGCCTTTTCATAGGTAAAGCGGCTTTGATGAAAAGTTCAATTTAAAAGTTAATACTACTCGACATTAATTGGAAGCTGAGAATAAACCGAATACAACATGAAAATGTTTACAGAACTGCCTGGGGCTGCCCATCAAAAAGATGCTCTGGGTTATAAAACGGGGCGAAAAGGTGGGCGTGACAGGCCACCCTACCACACTCGGCAGACTGAGTCACCGTCTGAGCTTCGGCCTCCCTTTGACAGGCTCTGCCTCCCCCACACCTCGGGCCACAATGTCCTATGTCACCTCCTGCCTCCTGTCATTCCCCAGCCCACATCGGCCTAGGCTGTGGCCAGAGAAACCGTCCTCAGGTAGAACGCAGATCACGTCCCTCCCTTGGTCAATGACCTTCAGGGGTTCCCTGCCGCTTACTAAATCGAGCACCCCTAGTCCGCTCCGATCGGACACCCAGCCCTTCTCTGCAGAAAGGCGGCCGCGTCTAGCTTGATTTAAACCTATTCCTCCTGGGGAGAAGGAGTGGGCACAAAGACTGCAGAGGGTTCGTCTTTACCTTATACTGTTCTGCATTATTTCCTTTTTTTTTAACCAAAAAAAAACAGGTATTAAATCACTTTTTTCTGATTTAAAAAAAAATAAATGCTAAGCATAAGTGAATCACCCGTCAGACCTAACGTGGGGAAACGTGCCGTCCAGGTCCGAGATCAGACCGACGGAGGTGGTACTTGCCAGAACTTCGATCCTGAAGTCATCGATCACGTATTTCCAGTACTGGGAGGACTTGATGTTGAAGGGGTCGAAGGTCAGGTTTTCCATGGGGGTGACCAGGCTGTCCACCCTGCACAGGACGTCGTCGATGCGCTTGGGGTCCCCCGTCACCGCCTTCAGCTCTGGACCGAATATGTTATAGAACTCCTCCATCACCTGTCCGGTCAAGCGAAACGGGAGCGGGTCACCCGCGGCTGTCTCGCGGGTGTTCTCCCTGCAAACGGGTTTGCTCGTCTCGATGCGCCTGAGGACGAGAACCGTGTCACGCCGGCGCCCTCCCTCGGGTCCGAGCCCGTCGGCGCCCTGCCCACTGCACGAGGGATGAGATCCAGACGCCCTGACACGGCCTACGGGGTTCGCGAGCCCGCCTTCCCCCCACGCCCCCCGTCCCCGTACTGCTCTCCCCTGCGCAGCCGCTCGGCCCCTTTCAGCTCCGCGTCCCCTTCTGTCCCACGACCTTTGCCCCTGCGGTTCGAAGCGCCTGGCTAGCACCGCTCAGCATTAAATGCCACTTCACCACGTCCGAGCCCTTAGAACAGGTCGGGCCCCGACACACACGTGCAGAGTCCCTGTCATGGCACTTAGCTGCAGCCACGCGTTTGTGTTTCTCCTACGAGACTCTAAGCCCCGTGAGACCACCGGCCAGGACACGCTGGCCAGGGCCAGCATGCCACCGGAGCAGGCTCACGGGCCCAGCGAGGCCCTGAGCTCGGGTTAAGGCTCTCGTCTTGAAATGAATAATCTTATCTTTGAACTTGTGGCTTCGCACATGAAGTCCGAGGGGAGAACGGTGTGCGCATGTGAGCAGAGGGGTGAGCAGGAGGCGTCCCGTGTGTCCCCTGCCGTCCCGTGCGTCCCGTCCACATGCAGCGAGAGGTACCCCGCAAGCAAAGGACCCCGGCGGCCCCACTGCGTGCGGAGCTCGGGCGCACTCAAAGCCAGGACGGCTGGGCGTTGCATCTGTGACGAGTGGGCAGCTCGGAGAGGCCACGCTTGCCTCAAACGCAGAAGGAAGTTCTAAGAAACACGCCTGACCCAGGAACACGAGGCCGCGTAGCTTCTGACTCCCGTCACTTCCCCGCGTCGGCCAGCCGCTCACGCTGAAGGTGACGACACAGGAGCCACAGAGACAGGAGAACACGTCACGCCTTTACCCCCGGTCCCTCCTCCCGCGTCAGAAAGCCGCAGGCAGAGGACGCCAGAGGACGTGCACTCTTCTGGTGACGACGAAAGCCACGTGCCCGTGCGCGCCACAAAGCACGAGCTGCGTCGTTGCAGTGACCGTGCCCATGCGTGACGTGGCTCCGTGTCTGCATTTGAACCTGACACTGCACGATGCAAAGACCAACAGTAAATTCATGCTAATAAATCAAACATTTAACTTGTCTTTACTGTCCTTACTTCCCTAACCAACAAAAACACGAGAGCCGTGCCGAGGCGAGACAGGACGGTAGGAAGGAACACTTGTTATGTTTTCATGCCTACAACGGCCTTTCCTCCCGGCCCTGGACGCGGAGCCCTTGGCCCTGCGGGGACGTCGCGGGCCCGGTCTTTGCTCCTCATCCTTTCTCTGGCAGCGAGCGCAGAGCCTGGCACATGGTGAGTTCTCGACGAATGTGTGGGATGAATGAATGAAGGCACCTTCGTGAGGCCAGGCCCGGCTAAGTCATCCGGTCAGCTGCTCGGCCCTTTGTACATTTATTCGAAGGAGAGCGGGGGTCAGAGGGACAGGGGAGGCGCTGGCACGTGGGCCGCAGTTGAAACGCTGGGCTGGGATGACTCGGCTTAAGGTGAATGAAGAGAGAAGGTCCCAGACCGCCTCCGAGGAATTCCGACGCTTAACGGAGGGACGGAGGAGGAGGATTTTGCCAGAGGTCAAAGGGCAACCGCAAGCAGGAGGCGGGGAGAAGGGGACGTCGCAGAGGACAAAGAAACGCACGAAGGTCCCATGTGCTCCAGCTGTGCCGGAACATTCTACGCGCTTGCCCAGCTGTTTCTCCCCCCAGCCCCTCTCTGCCTGTCGGCTCCTACCTGGCAGGGAGCAGCCCACCGCGGGAGAACCGGCACGAGCGGCGTGGGCCCCGTGCGCTCGGACACCAGCCCGCGTACCCGCTGAACGTTTTTCCACTTGTCGTTTGCTGAGAATAACTGAGCAATGGTTCCATTCTACCTTTTAACTCGGAAGAAGACAGCTTGGTGTGGCGTACTTGGCTGTGTCGTATTTCGATGGTCTGAGCTGTCACTGCTGCCTGCAGCTGCAGCAGCGAATGGCACAGGCCTGGCTGACCGCCACCAAGGCCGGGCCACACAGGAGGAACGCGCCGTCCCCCACCAGAACCGCTGCCCGCAGGCTCGACCTGCCGGGTCTCCCACCGGCCAAGGCTTTAATCCAGCCGCGTGGGCCACGGGAATTCTCTGGAATTCTTGGGAATTCTCGCCCAGAGACTAAAGGGGCTCCTGGCGTGGCTTCTTTTTGGACACGGCATGAACCAGAACGCACAGCGAGGACTGCGTTTCTGAAGACGCGCTGCTTTGAAAGGAGTTCGGTAAGCGGCGGGGGGGAGGAGGAGGAGGCCGATGGGCTTCGTGTTCTGGAGTCGGGGCCGGACGGGAGGCTCCCCACACCACTCCCCTTTGGTGGAGTTCCCACTGGCCCCCCGAAGTCCTGTGACCGCGCGCCTCATCAGCTGTGAGTTCACAAGCAAAGCAATTTCTCGGATAACTGGATATGAGTGTGGAAAGCAAGCCAAGCTGCTTCCCGGCGGGCAAGTCCCAGCTCAACCCACCCGCACGAGCATCCGAGGCCAGGCGCTCGGCCGCCGTACCTGCAGAATGTCGTAGAGATCCTGGCAGATGGTGGCCATGTAATCCGTCCTCTCGAACAGCCGTTTCCGGTCAAACTCCCACCGGGCTTCTCTCCCCGAAGCCTCTATCTTGGCCCTGGTGTCGAAGTAGGCCTTCTTCCACATGCAGAGGGTGTCCCTGGCCTCCGAGGTTTTGTGTTGTGCGCTCGCTCGGTTTTCTCTGTGAGGCAAAGAGGCCGGGTGATGGACGGGCTAGGAGGCAGCTCTGCGGTGGGCCTGAGCCGCGGGCCCCTGGGGAGTGGGTTTCCGAGGGGGGCGTTCGAAAGGAGAAACAGGATTGCAGGGCCATGTCCCGAAAAGCCTGCCGGGTGAGCCGCCGCTCTGCCACGTTTGCAAGGGCGCAGCGCAAATCCCAAGCCGCGGCCCAGGCCGACCTTCACGGCAGCTGCCCAGCCAGTGTGCAGAGCGGTGGCTCGCCCCGTGAGCTGTCTGCGTGAGCTGGACGCAGGGCAGGTGGCCCTTGGGGCCCAGGCCAGAAGTCAGCACGGTGGGGGCGGCAACACCAGAGAGAAACGGTTAATACCGAGATTCTGGCACCTGCGTCGCCTTTATAGATGAGTTTTTTTTAAGAAAGTGAAAAAAGAAAGATCTGTGTCTCCTTCAACATTTGATCCCTAGAAGAGGTCTGGGGTCCAGGGCTGGGGACCCTCTGACCCTGTGCCTCGGCCTCTCTGAGGATAACTAAGGGGAAAGGTCCTGGTTAAAATAAAATGACTTATGTAGTCACAGAAGGGGGTATCATGTGGCCGTGGACAGGAACGAAGCGCCGACACGGCCTATGACATGGACAAGCCTCGGGAATGCGACGCTGAGGGACAGGCCGGACGCAAAGGGCCGCACAGCGTGCGATCCCATCTGAACGGGCAAACCCGGGGAGACAGAGGTCGGATGCACAGTAGCCCAGGATGAGGGGGGCAGGCAGGGAGGGGGCGACGGCCAGCGGGCCCGAGGTTCCCACCACCAATCAGGGGGATTCCCGCACCGCTCTGCGAACACGCCGAAAGCCCCCGGACCGCGCATTGTGAATGAATGCGCGAGCTGCGTCCCCACAAAGCCGTCACTTCTCACTTGAACAGAGTCCGCAGGTTCACCACACGGCAGACCCTCTCGGCGATCTCCCAGGCCACCCGCTCCATGAGCGGGACCATCCTCTCGTCCTTGTTGTAGTGGCGGGAGATGATCCACACCATCCTCAGCGCGCTCATCATGGCCGGGATGGTCTCCAAGACGACGTGGAAGCTGGACCCGTGCGTTATGTTCTAACCGGAGAGAGAGAGTCGGGTGAGCAACCTTGGCCTTGGGGGTCAAGGAGCTTAATAAAGCAATAGGGCACAGTAAGTTTCACTCTTCCTAATTCCAAAAGAAAAACAAAAAAAGTACTTATGGTAGGAGAAAGTGTTTGGCAAGCGGAAGTTTGAAATAGGTCTGTATACACTGCCATGGAAAAAGAGATCTGTAGGTAAAGGAAATGAAGCAATTTGCATAAATGTATATCAAGTATGTGTGTGTACATTTCACATGCACGTATAAGTATACTATGTTTAGTGGCAAGAGCAACACCAAACAAATCGAGCCCGCCCCTCTAGAGGTGACCTGAGCCAGTGCGTCCCCGGCCCGAAGTGCAATGATTTTAAAAGCATTCAGAACTTTTTAAAAATATACTTATTGTAATGTATAGTAAAAAAAAACGTATATAACTAGTATTTCAAACCCATGGCAGCATAGGTATTATTGCTTAAGATGAGACTAAATTACACACACACACACAAATACACAAACACACAAATACATATGAATAAACTTAAAGTCAACTTAGGGAAAAGTAAGGTTTGGGGGCACGAAGGGATGGCAGAAGCTGCAGAAGCGGTGCGTGGCCGTGGACGCGTGGCTCTGCCTCATCCGCGACCACGCTGTGCAGGGAAGACAAACAGAACGGAAGAAAACGATGGTGTCGCGAACGTCCGCTCAGCGGCCGATTCCGCTCGGACCTCCAGCCCTCGGACGTGGTCAGCTGTCGTCCCACTCGCACAGTGCTGCTTGTGTGTGCGCGTGTGTACGTGTGTGTGTGTGCACACGTAACTATCAATAAAAGGAACTAAAGAATCAAATACATGTGCGTGTGCTTGTGCGCATACGTGTGCGTGCATGTGTGTGTACACTTGTACCACGTGTGCAGCTGTCGTACGCATGTCAGTTCCTTCCCTGAGTCTCCTCTTGGTGCGCTGAGTCCTTTGCACGCATAAGCACATTTGAAAATCCCAGCAACCCCATAGAGTAAGTTTTCTCCTTGTCCCCATTTTCCAGAGAAGGAAACAGGCTGAGAGGCTGCATGCGCAGATCTGGGGTACCCCGGGGCCTGGGCCTACGCTACACAGTGCTCACCCCACACATATCGTCCCCTCAGCCGCACAAACAGCACTTTCATTGGCCTCATTCTTGGGACAAGAAAAATGATTCTTGGCCTTAGAATATTGTACCTGTGCATGATAAATTCCAAGGGGAAAGGAATCCCTGGCACAGGTCATGAGTTTGGCTCAAATAAACTCTTAAAAATTAAAAAAAAAAAAGAAGGAAGGAAGGAAGAGAGGAAAGAAGGAAGGAAAGAACCCCAAAAAAGGAAATCACGCTCGTGCGTTGTGTGTGGGAACGTGAAATGGTGCGGTCACTGTGGAAAACAGTTTATGATGCCTCAAACGGTTACACACGAATCACCCTGGGACCCAGCACTTCTGCGCCTGGGGACACATGCAAAAGAAGTGACAGCAGAGATGCCAGCAGGTACCTATACAGCCGTGCGGCGCGATTCGCCACGGCAAACAGGCGGAATGACACGTGTCCATCAACAGATGGATGGATAAACAGAATGTGCCCACACACACAGTGGACTATTACTGAGCCCTAACGAAGAATGAAACTCTGACACGTGTTATGCCACGGATGAAACTCGAAAACGATATGCTGAGTGAAATAAACCGGACACAGAAGGACAGATACTGTGTGATTCTGCGTCTGTGAAACCCTAGAACGGGGAGAGTCATAGGAATGGAAATTAGAGTGGAGGTGTCTGGGGGCTGGGGTGGGGCCCCGCGGGGTTAAACTCAAGGGCTCCGGCGTTTCTGTTGGGGGCGATGAAAGGGTTTTGGGTACAGACGGTGGTGACGGGTACGGGGCATGGCCTATGTGTTTTCATACCGCTGAACTACACACACTTACGAGGGGTTAAAATAATCATGATTATGTTATATACATTTGACCACGATTTTTTCAATGCTTAACGATCAAAGGAAATTAGATCGGCGTGAGACCTCGTAACCGAGGCGATGCCACGAGCGTGGCACACCTGGCCTACCTTGAAGTGACGCTCCACCGTGGAGAGGAAGCGCACGTTGTCTGAAGCCTCCATGTGCAGCTTGAATAACTCGGTCAGGACCGGCTGCAGGTTGGCCACGAGCATAGAATCGGCTTCCTTGATCACATCCAAGACTTTTCTGACTATTGGAAGCTTCGTTTGCTCGTGGAGTGCACTCAGAGTTGCGTTTCTCTCCCGCCAGAATTCAATTTCGGCCAGAGGACCGTTACCCTGAGAGGTGACGTGAACACACGAACAACTGTCATCATTCGTGGACGGGACACTTGTGGCTGTCTCTCCAGCATCCGTTCCTCTCTTCCCAAATGCCCCAGATAAGGGCCAGGCTGTACCAGGACCTCGTGGGGTGGACACTTGACCCAGGACAGTCTAACTGGAGTGAACCTCAGGACCCCAGTGGGGAGTGCCACACAAAGACATTTCGTCTTTCTCTGGACAGTGTGGGGGTGTGGGACCAGACACTACCACTAGTTGCTGCCGTGAAGGTGACCAGCCTGTGGAGGAAGGCCTCACAGAGAGGAGGACGGGACTGAGAGTCACAGAGAAACACAGCCAGAGTCTTGATCAAACCATACCTGAAACCAGCCCTGCCTCTGGGCTCCTCAGTTACGTGAGCCAACCAGTTCTCTTTCTTATTTAAGCCAGCTGAGCTGGGCTTCCTGTTTTTGGCAGCCCGAGCATCCTGACTGATACACGGTATCATCTTTATCAAGATAATACTGGCAGCGCCCTAATGGCAGAAAGCCCAGGAATGGTATCTTGGGGATGTTCACTTTGATCTTTGAAGGAGGTCACAAGACAGTAAGAAAAGAGGCTAGACCGACTGCACAGAGCCCCAGGCTCCTGGCTTCCTCTCAGGAAGGAGAGCGTGAGCTGCATCGAACCTTCGAGAGCATGAATGAGCTACCTGAGGCGTCTTCTTCAGCTGGCTCTCGATAGCTGCGGATATCTGATCCAACCAGTTTATCACGCATTGCTCCAAGATGTCCATGGTCTCCGGGTCGGCTGCGAGGTAAGACACCTCGCCCTCTACACTGATACTTGGCATTTCTAGCTTGATCTCACCTAGTAGAATAAAAATGGTCCGTCGACCACCGGTGTGGGAGAAAAGGGTTAGAGATAATAACATTCCAGCTAATCAGCTGGCTCCTCTCTCCATACGCCACGGTGATAAGGTCTGAGACACCCGTCTTCCAATCGTCTGCATCTCATTCTCATTCGAATGGAGCGAACACATTTTAGAGAATTAGATAATTCCAGCGTTAAGCTCGATCGAAATGCTTTAGTTATTTAAGATCGTCCTGAATGTACCACCTAGCGAAGACGTTCACTTAAAAATCGAACGGCCAATCAGAGCTCGACAGATGTTTGAGAAAACCTCCATCATGAAACACAATCTGAGATAAATCAGAAACGACGACCTCAGAAGCCACTGAGATAAGGTCAAAAAATACTTTAAGTCCCAACTCTTGTCTCGGAGATTTGAGATAATCTGACATCCATCAAACAAGAAAAAGATACAGTGACAAGGGTACAAATCGGAATAAGAGATGTTAAAATTAAAACGTGATAGTTGATATAAAACATTCCAAGAGGGGAAGATAAAAATTGAGAGACTCTTCAGGAAAGTAGAAGACAAAGACAAAGAGATGAAAAATACGAGAAAAAGGATAAATGACAGAATCAGCAGCGTTCATCCAACAGGAATGTCAGGAAAAGAGAACAGAGAGAAACAGTGAAGGAATTCACCAAGAAAACCTTTCAGACTGAAAGGCTAGGTCCTCAGACTGAAAATACAGCGTGCTCAGCAAAGTGAACCACGCAGGGGTCCGTGTCACATTTCAAAACACTAAGGATAAAGGGACGACCCTAAAATTTTCCATAAAGGGGAAGGGAGAGGGAAGAGCATCCAAATTCTCATCGGAAATACCGAATGCTCGGAAACGCCGAAGAAAAGCGCATTCGAAATTCTGGGCTAAAACTATTTTCAACTTAGACTTCCATACCCTGGCGCATTATTAACCAACTGCGAAGACAGAATAACGTCATTTTTGGACACGGAGGGTCCCATAAAATTATCTGCCACACGCCTTTTCTTAGGAGGTTCGTTACGGATACGCTCCCAACCACGGGGCCGAAACCCAACCACGGGAAAAGGAACCACTGCGCCTGGGGTGACAGGTGTGCAACGTGCTGAGCCAGCAACAGCCCCCACGGCAACGGGGTCCCAGGACACCGGCAAGGAGAGCCTCTGATAAAAGGAGGGGATTTGCAAAAAAAAAACCAAAAAACAAACAAAAAAAACCATTTTCATAAGGCGTTTCAAGGAAAGAACGGCAGTGCGGGTGGCTGGACCAGGAAGGGAAAAGCCGCCCCAGGAAGGAAAGATGATCAAAGGGTACGACCGTGGCGAACAAGATTCCCGTGGCCGTAGAAAGGTGAGATGCGGATATTCAGACAAAATCCCCAACAGCGTGCCCGGAAATAACATCCACAACTACGATTAAGGAGAAACAGCACTGTCAGCGTATACTTTAGCAAAAAAAAAAAAAAAAAAAAGTAACTATCAATAAAAGGAACTAAAGAATCAAAGACGGTGCCCGAGAAAGCAGACCCGAGGGGTAGGAAACAGGCGGGATCGGTTTCCCAGCTCGTCGGCATCCCGTTCGCATCGGCTCATATTTTTTTGAAACCTGATGAATGCACGACTCTAAGAACATATACTATATCTACCTATTTATGTACATGATTTACTCACTCGACGTAAGCATACTTGCTCTAAGCATACGTAATATGTTAAAAACTCGCTCCGCAACAGAATATCTGACTTTATGATCTTCATGCTTTTCCTTAAAGGAAAAGGGCCAAAGAGCCTTTTCGACTGACAGTCGATAACCTACAAAAAAAAGCTATTCGTTCAGTGTCCCAAAATAAAACCAAATTTCCTCTTTGAGATGATATTAAAGAACGGGTTTGGCGAATGTTTTCTACATGTACCGGACAGTAAATATTTTAGGCTTTGCAGAGCAAGAGGCAAAATCGAAGCTAGAACATCGGTCCTTATAGGACCATTTCAAAAAATCGAACCATTTAAAACTGTAAATGCTATTCTCAATCCAGCAGGTTGGACAGGGCCCATAACTTGCTGTCCCATTACAAAATGTAAATTCATCTGCTTTTCCAGTGTTTTAAGTAGTATGTGATCCTCTAGGAAAATATGAAGGCAAGAAAGAAAAAACACTTTATTCTTATAACCTAGTCAGTGATGAGGACCACGGATAACATTTTAGTGAACCTCCTTCCAGTATTTTATCTAAAACACAAAAAATATGTTCGCTCATCTGCTTTTAACATCAGAAACAAGACACGCAAATCATATGTAAGATTATAAGGAACGACTTTTCGCATGTCTGTTATTTTGTGTGAATCCGAGGAAAGCGATGGAGGAGTTAGGCAGACACACAGCACGGGGAAGGAGAAACAGATGCCGAGGGAGAAACTGCACTTCGGAGCGGGGAGGGGGACACTCTAAAACAGAACCTTGAAAAAAGTTTCCATTGCATGTGGTAAAAAGCTTGGATCTCTACATGTGTTTCTCGTCGTCTCGCTTTCAACAGAAAAAATTCCTGCAAAGCAGGGTGTGTCAGCTTTCACTTCGAAGCGGGGGACAGTTCATTTTCCCAGGAAAGCAATGCCATCTCACGGGCCCTGACGGCCCTTGCTGATAAATGCTCGGTCGGATTTCACAATGTGGGCCTCTGAAAACAGCACGGGACTCAAAAGTGGGGTCCACGGTCCTCACCATGCCAGCCTCCCAACCTTCCGGTCCTCCGCTCATGACGCACACACTCCCCCCCGCTCGGGCTCCGGGGGTCTTGCCGTACCACCCGCCCCACCTGGGGAGGTGAGGAACAGCTCCCCCCAACCACAGCTGCTGCTGGCTGCCATGTGGGGGCCCTGTGGACACACAGATCACCGAGCCAAGACCCCGCCCTCTCCCCATTCATGGAACCCCAGTTTGTCTGACCCCCTTCACTGGCTCAGGGCCATCCTCTCTGCCTGAAATGTGCTCGCTCACTACCTCGACCTGTTAAAGCTTTGCTCGTCATTTCAGAGGAGGTCGAATGCCACCTCCTTCAGGAAGTCTCCTGCGATTTCCTCCACTCCTCCAACATAGGTGCCCTCTTCCAAACCCTTTAGGCCCTAACATCTTTCTCAAGCTCCTTATACTGCCATAGTTCTTTGGACACCAGATGATAAAATCCTTGAAGACAAGGATGCCTCTGTGTCTCTCACGATGACCAGCTCCGTCTTTCATGTCGTGAGCAGATAAACAATAAATCAGAACAAAAAAGCTCCTGGATTCTTAAATTGCCTTCTTAAAGCAGATTCATCGTTAACTTAAGAGGAGAAAAAAAAAAAGAAGAAGCCTTACCTTCCAGTTGCTGCATCGTCCTTTGAATATTATTTGCAAATTTCTGGATGTTCATTAAAAATTCATCCCGTATTAACTGAATGCTGTGATACTCTACGGCTTCCCCGGGCATGTTAGGTAGGTCCATTTCGTACTCAGAGGAGTCGGAGATCTCTCCAGGTGGCAAAGCCATGCTTGCCTCCTTGTGCTGATTGAAGGACAAAGCTGGCAAGAAAACCTGAAACGTCCAGTTTACAAAACAAGTCACACAATGTCCTGCTCCATAATCCACGCACTTCCCCCGCCTCTGGCTTTGAATGCTCTATAGTGGGGGCACAGACACATTGACCCCGCCTGGGACAGGAGAGCTGCCGGCCACCTGTGTGTGCAATGAATGAATCGGATGGCTTCCATCTTACACATGCTGAGAGCTCCTCCTCGGCCCCTGTTTACCTGACATAGAACATCCTTCAGAAAATGAAGCATGTTCGCATTGATGATCCCGTACTCCAGCGTTTCGGGCATGATCTCCATAGCCTCCTTCATATCGCTGGCTTCCGAGATCG